TTTTTCTCAGAAGATATTCCAAAGAGCTTCCATTGGAATTTAGAATCACTCAATTTTGACTTTTCTAAAATTAGTTACGAATTTTCAAGGTTTGGCCAATTTATAGGTTGCTGTGAATAGTAACCTGTGAGCAAAATTTTTCAAAGTCCATCTTTTTAAAACTTTTGGCCATCAAATGTGATTCCATTTACTTGGGTCTATAGCTACTTCTTCTCGAGTAATTATGTGACCTAAGAATCTCACTTCATTCAGCCAAAATTTACACTTACTGAGTTTGGTGTACAATTGCTTTTCTTTCAAGGTATTCAGAACAATCCACAAGTGTTGCTTGTAACACGTTTACTAGTGGTGACAGAAGTTTGAAGCTTTCTGGGGCTGGTAGGTTATTATAGAAGATCCATTCGAGACTTTTTCAGGATTACTCTCCTGCTGACCAAGCTCACTAGGAAGAATCAACCATTCGTGTGGGACGAAAAGTGTGAGGCCAGCTTCCAGAAGCTAAAGCAAAAGCTGACCTCTACTCCCATGCTGATTATTCCCGATCTTATGCTATTGTACGTAGTTTATACCAATGCAAGCAGGCAAGAATTAGGATGTGTGTTAATGCAGTAAGGCCGGGTGGTCGCCTACACCTCATGACAACTTAAAATGCATGAAGAGAATTACCCCACACATGACCTGGAGCTAGCAGCGATCGTTTATGCCTTGAAGATCTGAAGGCATTACTTGTATGGAGCAACTATTGAGTTGTATTGTGATAACAAAAGTCTCAAATACCTGCAAGAGTAGAAAGAATTGAACATTAGATAGAAGAGATAAATGGAGTTACTCAAAGACTATGACTAAGTACCATTCAGCGAAGGCTAATGTAGTATCAAACGTATTGAGCAGGAAAGTGGTACAAGTAGCATCACTAATGATCAAAGAATAGAAACTTATTGAAGGCATTAGGGATTAGAATCCCATCTGTCAGATATGGTTGATGATAGGAAAAGTTGAAGTGGTAAAAATAGAGGTACAATTGATGAAGCAAATAGAAGAAGCTCAGAAAAAGATCATTTAGCAGACATCTTTAAAGCTAAAGTATTAAAAAATGAGACTCGAGATTTTGAGATCTCTGTAGAAGGAATACCGAAGTACAAAGGAAGAGTATATGTTCCTTCTGTGATTGACATTAAAGAAACAATTCCAAAAGAGGCACACAAACGTAAGTACACTATGTATCCAAGCATGACAAAAATGTATCACAATATTAGAGAATTATTCTTGTGGCCTGGTATGAAAAGAGACATAACAGAATATGTGTCTAAGTGCCTCACCTGTCAAAAAATCAAGACGGAGCATCAGAAACCATTAGGACCTCTACCACTTTTGAGTATTCCTGAATGGAAATGAGACAGTATCTCCATAGATTTCATCATGGGATTACCTCACATGTCTTCGGAATATAACGTAATTCAGGTAATAGTTGACCAACTGACAAAATCAGCTCACTTTTTGGCAATAAGAAAGGAACGTCAACCAAAGAAACTTGCGAGGTTATATATTAAGAAGATTGTAAGATTACATGGAGTACCAAAAATGATCGTGTCTAACAGAGATCCTCAATTTCTCTCTAGATTTTGGAAAGCGTTACAACAAGTGATGGACACAAAGATGAGCTTTAGTATGGCCTATTATCCACAAATGGATGGGCAAATGGAGCAAACGATACAAACTCTAGAAGATATGCTAAGAGTATGTGTATTGGATTTTAAAGGAAACTGAGATGAGTATTTACTGTTAATTGAATTCGCTTATAACAATAGCTACCATTCTAGTATAGAGATAGCTCTGTATGAAGTATTATATGCCATAAGTGCAGATGAAAGAGAGCCTTTCTTATCATTCGCTTAGAGGTTCTCACTCAAAAATTTATCCAAGCTATGCAGTAATGCAAACTCGGGTCGTTTCTCTTTTGGGAGCCTTAGTTAGTTATCTAGGTTAGACTAAATGTTATGCAGAGTAATGAAAAAGGGGGGTTTTGGGTTTTTAACATTTAATGAAATGTGCCAAAACTAAATGCAATTAAATCAAATTTAAGTTGCTATGTTTTTGGATTTTTCTAAGATAGTAGTAATGTAGTGAAAATTAATGAAAGGTAATCTCTTGAAATGCCTTTGAAGCAATCATAGTTCAAAATAATTTTGGGAGTAAAAATCACCAAGTTTTCTAAAGGAAAAACCTTAAAGAACTCTTTAAGTCTAGGATCTCAATCAATGGCCACCCATCTCATAAGATCCTATTAAGCTCACTTAGTGTGTGTATTAAGATTAATTAATACACTTGGTTTAATGCAAGCCTAGATTAACTCAACAATCAAACAATACCATGCAAGAAAGAGAGTATCAAAAGAGTTGCATAGAAACATACATGTAACCACATATATTGAAGCTCAAATTCAACATTAACTAATCCAATACACAAGCTAATCATCCAGAATTGATTACAACCATAATCAAAATAGTTCAGCCCAAATTTACAAATCCTAAGACCTAGAAATTCATAAATAAAGAACTAGAACTATGGATGAAGCTAACTCCTCTTTGAAGCTCTTGGAACTCATGCTTCTTCCATCATATTCAAGAGTTGAGAGGCTTAGCTCATCATAGCTCTTGAATCAGCTCCAACTAGAGATTGTTCTTCAGCCATGACAGTAGCAGATGGAAGAAATGGAAATGGAGGATTAGGGTTTCTGAGGGAGAGATGAGAGAAGAAGATGATAGAAACGTAGGTGGAGGCTGAATAATGAGAGTCTGACCTCATCATACCCAAAATAGGGTTTCTAACCCGAAAATTGCGTGCATGGGTCAGTTTCTGGGGATGGGTAGGTCAAAATTTCCCAAAATGGTCGGGTCTGAGACTTGCTGATACGAGAGGTTCGCCGCGGCGAAACATGGCAGAGAGCCTTGCTTCAACAGATGATTTTCGCCGCGGTGAAGTCAAATGTGTGCCGCGGCAAACTTAGGCAGAGGATCCTTTCTTGCTTCTTGTGCCTTGAGTTCTTCAATTCTGGTCCTAATCTTTAGTGTCCTATAATAGAAAGCAACAAATTGAAGTATCAATTGTCCTAGAAATCAATTGAGTCTAATTAATAACCAATTATGACAATTTAATCCTCAAAATGACACTAACTTAAAGTAAGGACTCTTAATCTAAATTAAACACAATTATCATTAAAAAGGGCCAGAAAATATCACAAAATCATGGATAATGAAATGAAAAGATAATAATATCTTGAGCTCAATCAAATTCCCCTACACTTAGACCTTTGTACTCCTGGACAAAGCTCAAGAATAATTCAAAGTGATACTAGCACAAAGAGAAACACTACCATGCTTAAAGATAAAAGTAGAAGATTAGAAAGAAACTCTCACAGGGTTGACATCAGTAAACAAGGATATGCTAAGAAAATGAGCACAATGGATAATTAACTCAAAAGATTGATCAAGAAAGATCTAACTCACGGATAAGTGTTTCACTCTTAACTCACTTGTTTTAGGGTTATTTCACTCCAAGTCTACTAAATCCAATTTCTACCATAGGCTTGTAATAATTCTACCTCTCCACCACAGGAAGCAAACTTTGTAAATCAAGAGGACTTTTAAGGTTTAGAACTTGAATGAAGGCCAAGTGAAATGAGTGGGATGAGAATGAAAATGAAAATGAGTACAAGCATACAAATTATTAAGACAGAATTAATCTAAATAAAAGCAAGGGAAGAAGCTACTTAGTTTTTATTCCATAATTTTTATATCTTTATCCTTTCTTTTCTTTACTCTCTCTTTTTTTTTTCTTTCTTTCTTCTTTTTTTTTTTTTACTACCCCTTTTTGTTTTTTTTTCTACCCTTTTTTTTTTCAAATGAAGCAGCTTCTCTCTCTTTTTTTTTAATTACAAGATAATTGCATGCATGTACTCAAAATGAAGGCTCAAAGGGGTTCACAATAGTGAAATGATTGGGTTTGTGTTTGGGAAACGAGGGTTTAAAATCGAATGCCTCTATCATATTTACAAAAATTGATTCACTAAGCTTCGATTAAGAATTAAAACAAGTTCTAGAGAAATATGAAGTAAGTAGATTCACTCAATTTAATAACTTTAGGCCCAAAGATCCTTCCAACAAGGTTAAAATCTCAATTAACCAATCTCAAGGGTTAACAACCACATAGTCATGATTTCAAAGCATATCATCATTTACTATCTGTCAAAAACATGAGAATAACTAGCCTAAGTTCATCCCTCATTTAAAAGCATGGAAAATTTTCTAAAAGCACTAGTACAATTTGAACTTTTCTAATAATTTTAAAAGGGATGCAGGAGTATAAAGAATCTAAGCCAGGAAAAATTTCTGAAAACCAGTTGAAATTGCAAAGAATTAATTATTCGAATAATATATTTATTTATTTATTTTTTAAAGAAGGGTGATCGCCGCGGTGAACTATTGAGGTTGCCGTAGCGAACTGAGGCAGAGACGAAATCTGGGGAAAGGGCTGGCTTTCACCGCAGCGAAAGTATCCCGAGAGAAAATTAACGTGAAAGAAAGGGGGGATTCGCCACGGCGAAGGGTAATGTTGCCGCGACGAAGGGTGGCAGAAACAAAAAATCCTGTGCAATTTCAACTCTTCAGCAACTAAACTCAAAATATTCACAATTCAACCACTTTATAAGTTCAAAAACACCTCAAAATCAAATAGATGCATGGATGCATGAGAAATATTTGCTAGAATCCACAATAAGTCCCTCCCCTACACTTAAACACAACATTGTCCTCAAGGTGAGAATCAATGACAGCAAATACCAGAAATGAAGCAGGGGGAAAATAAAGCAAAGATCATAACAAACCAATTAAGAAACATCCATCTAAACAAGTTCAAGACTAAGGAGCACAATAAAGGTTCAGAAATATCCAGCCTCAGAACAAATGAAACAAAAGAAAATAACAGAAACACAAGAACTAAAACTACAGCTGCTGCCCAGGATCATAAGTTCGCCAGGGCGAAACATCATCGAGAGCAACACAAGAGACAACGAACCACTTCGCCACGGCGAAGACAGGGGTTGGCTGCGGCGAAGTGTCACAGACTAATACAGACAACACTCAAACATCAGAGAAACACAACAACAAACAATAGACGAGGCTGGATACTTCAAAAACTTTAAAATGCCTCAAAAAAGATCAGGAGGTGTTCAACAATTTCCATGATTAAGCAGTATATCACATACAAATTTTCTCAATCAATCTGAATCATATAATTCATTCCAAACACCAAATCATCAAGCACAAAATAAGATAGGACAGAGATCAAAACTTCCAGGGGGTCTTATTGAATTTAACAAATAACTACACTACTTTCCTACTGAAAAGGGTTTCTCCCCCACACTCATTCAACATACAATGCACAAAACATAGCAAGATTAATAATTAAGCAAAAGCATGTAAATGAGTGAAGGAAAGAAACGACCAGGGAGCTAAGGAGGCTTTTGGTTCTCATGGTAGAGCTTCAGTTGATGGCCATTAACTTTAAGCTTTGCTCCAGTTTCCTCATTAAGAAGCTCCACCATTCCAAAATGATGCACCTTTGTGACTGTGTAAGGCCCATCCCAGCGGGTATTGAACTTTCCTTGCTTAAAAGTGAATCTGGCCTTAAACACCAGTACCTTGTCTCCTACCTTGAAATTCTTCCTTAGGAGACCTTTATCGTGCACGAGTTTTGTCTTCTCCTTGTAAAGTTGAGAGCTCTCATAAGCCTCCAATCTCAACTCCTCTAACTCTTGCAGCTGCAACTTCCTCTCCATCCCAGAAGATTCCAAATTCATGTTACATTGTTTGACTGCCCAATATGCTTTATGCTCCAATTCTATAGGTAGGTGGCATGCTTTGCCAAAGACTAAGCGATAAGGAGACATTCCAATAGGTGACTTATAAGCAGTTCTATAGGCCCACAATGCTTCCTCTAATCTTAGGCTCCAATCTTTCTTGGATGGTTTGACTATCTTCTCCAGTACTTGTTTTACCTCTCGATTTGAAACTTCAGCTTGGCCATTGGTTTGGGGGTGATATGCAGTGGAGACTTTGTGGGTGACACCAAATTTAGAAAACAAGTTATCTACTACCTTATTACAAAAATGTGTACCTCTATCACTCACCACAGCCCTTGAAATCCTAAACCTACAGAAAATGTTGGACTTAAGAAACTTAGAAACCGCCTGGGCATCATCTTTCCTAGTAGGTACAACCTTTATCCATTTGGAAACGTAATCAACAGCTAGAAGAATGTATATAAAACCAAAGGACGGAGGAAATGGGCCCATGAAATCAATTCCCCAAACATCAAAAATTTCATAAAAAAGTAAAGGTTGTTGGGGCATTTAGTGTCTTTTACCTAACCCTTCAAAACATTGACATTTGTCACAGGACCGATAAAAGTCATAAGAATCTTTAAAAAGGGTTGGCCAATAAAAACAGAATCTAGAATTTTCCTAGATGTTCTCCTTGCACTGAAATGACCACCACAAACCATTGAATGGCAAGCTGCAATGATAGACTCAAACTCTTCACTAGGCACACACTTTCTTATAACTTGGTCACTACATATCCGCCATAAGTGAGGGGCATCCCAAATGTAGTGTCTCGATTCGCTTCGAAGTTTTTGTGCCTGAAATTTAGACATGAAAGGAGGGGTGAGTCCAGTTATAAGATAATTAACAATATGCGCATACCAAGGCTCTTTAACAGCTAAGGCACATAATACTGAATCAGGAAAGGAATCACAGGTGAGTTCAGAAGAGTCTACTCCCCGTGTATCATCAGGTAGCCTACTTAAGTGATCGGCTACATGGTTCTCAGCCCCTGCTCGATCCTTTATTTCAATGTCAAATTCCTGAAGAAGTAATGTCCACCTAATCAATCTTGGCTTCGATTGTGGTTTCTTAAGAAGATAGCGAACAGCTGCATGATCAGTGAAAACAGTCACATGAGAGTTTAACAAGTAAGGTCTAAACTTCTCTAAAGCAAAAACAACTGCAAATAGCTCTTTTTCTGTTGTTGTATAGTTGACTTGAGCTGCATCCAGTGTTTTCGAAGCATAGGCAATGACTCTTGAGAGCTTCTCCTCCCTCTGGCCTAACATAGCTCCTACAGCAAAATTAGAAGCGTCACATGAAATTTCAAAGGGCATGGTCCAGTTAGGTGCAACAAGAATAGGAGGAGAAATGAGTTTAGACTTCAAATCATCAAAAGCAACTCTACAAGAATCATCAAAATCAAATTTCACATCTTTTTGTAAAAGCTTTGAGAGAGGTAAAGCAATCTTGCTAAAATCTTTTATAAACCGCCTATAGAATCCCGCATGACCCAAAAATGATCTAATATCTTTAACACAAGCAGGATAAGGCAAAGAAGATATAACCTCAATCTTAGCTTTATCAACTTCAATTCCCTTTTTAGAAATCAAATGCCCTAGCACTATCCCTTCATTGACCATAAAATGACACTTTTCAAAGTTTAAAATCAAATTCTTTTCAATGCATCTTTTTAAAACTTTTTCAAGACTAGCAAGACAATCATCAAAAGAACCACCATAAACAGTAAAATCATCCATAAAGACTTCCATACATTCCTCTAAGAATTCACAGAATATAGCCATCATACAACGTTGGAAAGTCCCTGGAGCATTACATAACCCAAAAGGCATCCTACGATAGGCGAAGGTGCCAAAAGGGCATGTGAAAGTGGTTTTATCTTGGTCCTCCGGTGCAATAGGTACTTGAAAGTACCCAGAGAAACCATCTAGAAAACAGTAATGAGATTTGCCTGCAAGTCTCTCAAGCATCTGGTCTATGAAAGGAAGAGGGAAATGATCTTTCCGTGTGGCATCATTGAGTTTTCTATAATCTATGCACACACGCCAGGAATTCTGAACTCTCGTAGGAATAAGCTCATCCCTATCATTTCTAACCACAGTAACCCCACTCTTTTTAGGCACTACATGTATTGGACTAACCCACTCACTATCAGATATGGGATAGATGATCCCAGCACTTAGAAGTTTGGTAATTTCCTTCTTAACCACATCAAGAATCAGGGGGTTTAGTCTTCTCTGGGGTTGTCTCACTGATTTTGAACCTTCACTAAGCAAGATTCTATGTGTGCAAATGGCTGGACTAATTCCAGGAATGTCCGCTAAAGTCCACCCAATAGCCCTCTTATGCTCTCTCAATACAGTAAGGAGTCTTTCTTCCTCAACCTTAGACAGAGAGTTAGCTATAATGACAGGTAATCGCTCATCAGACTCTAGAAAAGCATATTTCACAGTAGGGGGTAGGGGTTTCAACTCAAGAGTAGGTGGTTGCACAATAGAGGGAATCAGTTTATGAAGTTCAAGAGAGAAAAGATTACTCCCCTTTCCTTCAACCAGTGAGAGTTCCTCAACCTTGCAGATAGCTCCTCTCCAAGCGTTGAACCAACTTCTAGTTGATCTACAGCAACTGCCTTAAAGGGAATCTCCTCCATGACTTCTTCCTCCATATCTGAAATAGCAACAGAAAACCTTTCCCCAAGGGAATTATCACTGACAATAGAGGAATCAAAGTCTACTTTGGAGTCAAGGGAGGAAACAGAAAATGCATGTGGAATGGAAAGCATACAATTAAACACAGTGCAATCGAGGCATGTAACTTTACCACCACATGAGCAAGAAGAAGGTGTAGAGTAAAGAGATGAAAAAGAAGAAATGGATTCATCCTCATCATTAGATTCATCAGTATAAATATCAGAATAGAAAGAGTCGTTTTTCAATTCAACTTCAGTGCATGCATCCTCAACAGCAATGTCTATCATGTTAACCCCCAAAAGTGAATAGTCCTCATAAGGATGTTTCATTGCTTCATACATGTTAAAAGAAACTTTATTATCACCCACCTCCATAGTTATGGTGCCCTCTTTCATGCTAATCATGGTATTAGCAGTCCTTAAGAAAGGTCGACCAAGGATGAGTGTAGCATCATTCACACGTTCAGAAGACATGTCAAGCACATAAAAATCAGCAGGAAACACCAATCCCTTAACTTGGACTAAAATATCTTCAATAATGCCCTCAGGATACCTAATAGTCCTATCAGCTAGTTGGAGCACAACAGTGGTAGACTTAAGAGTCTTGACTCCTAGAGAGGTGTATACGGACTTAGGCATGACATTAATGGCTGCACCTAGATCTAACAAGGCCCCCCTATAGTAACCTTTCCTATAGTGCAAGGGATAGTGAAAGATCCAGGGTCTTGACACTTTACAGGAATTTGGGGTTTAAACAAAGCAGACACATTAGAGGGTAATTGGACTCTTTCATTAGGTTTAAATCTCCTCTTTTGAGTACATAATTCTTTTAAGACCTTAGCATACTTAGGAATCTTTTTAATCAGGTCAAGCAAGGGTATATTCACTTCTACTTTCCTAAATGTCTCAAGCAACTCATGATCTTGCCTCTCCTTACCCTTTTTCACATTTTTCAAATAAGCATTAGGGAAAGGTAGTTCATTGATGTTTACCTCCTTACCTTCCTTGCTTGAGGCTCCATGATTGCTTGGCTCAGATTCCACAGTTGTCCCCTTGCCATCATGTTCTTTTGAGGCTTCTTTCAGCTTTAGCCTCTTCTCCTTGAAGCTTTCAGACTGCTTCTCTTTTGAATGTGCTTGTGGCACTCATCACACAAGATCTCCTCATCTATAACTTCATCCTCCTCTTCTCTGAATTTCACTTGCTTCCCACTCCTAAGGGTGATAGCATTCAAGCCCTTAGGATTGATAACCGTGTTGGAGGGGATTGTGCCACTGCTCCTTGCTTGTTGTTCACTCATGTTGTTGGACAACTGAGTTACATAGGAGTTAATGTTCTCAGATTTAGTCTCCCATTGCTCCATTCTCTTTTCCAAAGCACTAAATCTAGCATCATTCTTGGATGAGTCTTGTTGAATTAGTGAAGCTAAGGAGTTGAACTGAGTAGCGTTAGCAGCCCTTTCTTCCTTCATTAAAGCCATCATATTTTGTAGGAGTTGATTTGTTTCATCCTTAGGTGGGACCGCCAAGGC